ATCAAAGGCGACCTCCGGCGAGAGATGGCGATGGTTGCTAAGGCACCACTTCAAGGAGCACGACAACTCGGCAAGGAGACCAAACTCCGACATGCCAAAAGCTTCAAGAAAGACAAGAACAAGAACAACCTCTCGGAGCGCCACATGACTCCCGATGAGCGCGCAGCCTTCAAAGCTGCCAATGTCAAGGAGCTGCAATCCTTCTTCGACAACCACGTCTGGCAGTTCGAGACCACCAGAGAAGCCGAGCCCAGTCGGACACTGACCAGCCGCATGCTGTTGAAGTGGTCAAAAAATCCTGACGGAAGTCCACGAGCCTGGTGGGCGACAACAAGGATGGAGCGTCCAAGAGCTCTTTGAGTCGCTGGCAAGGGTCAACCAACAAGCTCCAGTAGATTCTAGCATGTTCCAATGCATCGCAAGCTTGACCACCGCTTTGTGCTTCGGCACGCAGTGAGGAGCGTGCAACTCTTGCCGTTTTCAGGCTGCGCCAATCCAACACGTGGTAAGCTCCTTCGGGTCCATTGGCCTGAAGCAAAGCTTTGTTGACCATCAAGATCACATAGCCAGCTTGTGAGGCTCCGTCGCAGCGGGTGGCAAAAGCAGCATCAAAAAAACATACCAAACAAAGTTCTGAAACTTCACCCAGGTGGCTGTACTGAAGACCAACATCAGCATTTTCTTTTGCAAAACGCAGCAGGCGATTGGTGTCGGCCACTGTCTGGAGCGTGGCCTTGGTGACATGACCGCTCAGGATCGAGGTGCTGCTCTGCAAATGAGGACTGCTCTGAACAGCGGGCCATTGCAGTGAGCCAAGAAGTCCTCTGAGCTGAGTCAGCTCGCGCTGATTGAGCGCATCAGTGAGGCTGCGCTTCTGGTCATAGGTGATCGGTTTCACCTTTCCCATGTAGCTGGTCTGGTTGAGGAGGAAGCCATCATCCTCGACCTGAATGTCGCAACCACAGTAGGTCAAGGGCTTTCCATCATCACCAGTTTTCCATTCACGAAAGTTGAAGGTGCCCTTCAGCTTGGTGATGGTGTCGTGGTAGCACTGGGAGTGAGGTGAGCCGCAACCAAGCATGTCATCAACATGCATGATAACCATTCCACAGAGACCGTGAGGTCCGAGCAGGTTGGAGTGCTCAGCGGTGGTGTCATACAGGGTTGAGATCACCTTCATAGATCAAGAAACAGCAGGGATCCTGAGGATGCTGTCGGAGGCCCATAGCACTCAACTTATCAACTGCAGCCATGAACCAGGACCTCGGTGCATCGATCTGGCCGTAGCAGGGCTTGAGAAGCTGTAGCTCCAAGCAACTGCAAACACTCTTGAGGAAGCTGCACCCACAACTTTCGAGTCTGAGGTCGGCCCTGTAGGAAGGCGGTTGCAATGTCCGAGGTCCAGATCGGCCACTGCATAGTGGAGGCCAAACTCAAGAGCATGGACCTCGACAACCTCGTGGTTGTGGGCGATTTTGGTCGGGACAGTGCCTTCCCAGGCGTCAGGGTCCATGAAGCCTCTGACAATGAGCCTTGCTTTTGATCACGGACGCCAAGGCCCTTTACGACTCCTATCATCGAGAAGGAGTCGGAAGCTCTGTGGTTGACAAGCGTGTTTCGCTTGAGATCCGTGTGATGAAGGATCGCCTCACCTCCCTTGGCGGTTCTTTGAGGTGGATGTCATCGGAGCGCCAACTGGCTGACGGATTGACAAAAGAGTCGGCCAGAGCACTTCTTGCACAACGGCTACGTCACGGTCGTTTGAAGCTTGTTTGGGACCCCTCCTACAAAGCTGCCAAGAAGAAGACGAAAGCTGAGCTCCAACAGAGTCTTGCCGAAAGCATACATGTGCCACCACCACCTTTGGTCAATGAGGAACCCAACCTCCATGAGGAACACATGCAGCCCATCGACGAGAATCTTGCGGAGAATGACGTCCATGTCGATGAGCAGGTGTTTTGGAATGAAGAGATTTTTCGGAATTCCATGGTTCCTGAGAATGTCATTTTTGCACGGACCGACCAGAAGCTTGAGTATGTCACCCACAGTCCGAGCCATGTCGGAAGCCGGTCGCTCGAGCTCTACCACGGTCGCAAGACGAATTTCATGTTTTGGTTTTTGCTTTTGTTCATGGCCCCACTGCTGGTCAAGGCCGATTCGGCCATCGTGGAAACTGAAGCTGAAATGGACTGGTTTGGAACTACTGTGTGCACCCTCTTCCTCCTTCTTTTGAGCACGGCCTTCATTTGTGGCCGCTTGAGCCATGGTGCCTCTCACAGAGTTCAACCCCAGGTCACTGAGGCCGCAGTGCAAAAGGATGAAGCGATCATCCCAGCCCGCCTCAGAGAAGAAGTCAAGCGCCTGAAGCAGGAAGTCCTGCGCTGGAGTTCAAAAGCAGAGGAGTTCCGCCTTGCAGCTGTCGAAGCTACGACAGCGATGAATCTGGTTCTGAGAAACCAGAATGCTGCTGAGACCCTTGCACACGAAGCCTCCCAGATCCTGAAGATCGCCCTGAGGCAGATGGATGAACATGGAAATGAATGCCCCTTCTACAACGGCATGATCATCAGCCGGCGCGGCGCCATCTAGATGGCATACGAGCTTGAACTGCTCGAGCCTGGCCGGAAGAGACGAAAGCCTGCAGCGGCGAGTGGACTACTGCCGCCTTTGTAGTTTGAGGGTGATTCCACCTGACCTGGTGGATGAGGACATGGGTTCTTCTGTTCGAACCTTGGTCTTTCAATGGCTGGACCGGTTCGAAGAACTCTCCCTCGTGTAAAGTTCACGCTGTGCACTTGAGTCTCGGCAGTTCGAACTGTTTTCGACCTTCACTTACCGATGTTCCCTCTCAAGACTGGGAGGGCAGTTGCCTTGGGAAAAGGCGCGGCCGCGGCGCTTCAGTGCGCCATCGTGTTTTTCGTGCTCGCGGACTTCGGGTGCCGCTGCTACCGTTTTCGCAACAAATATAAACCGAATTTAGGGTTTCGGACGTGGTGTTTTTTGTTTTAATTTGGGTGCTCGGGATTAATAATTGTTTGTCCGACAATGGCCGGAGAGATTTGAGCCCATACAAATAAATAACCACGGCTGAACTGGTGAACTTGAGTGAAATGGCAATTGTTGTGATTGAGACTTAATCCGTGTTCAACCATAAGCCTTGTCATTGTGGGCCAGCATGATCACTTTTGCCTGCTGTCAGAAGGCAAATTGCCGCTCTGATTTACAGTTTGCACCAAAACAATGAGATCACATTATTCAATCTGATCGTTTTTGTTCTGCAGATTGAATTAGTGATCCATCTTTGAAGATAAGTTTGAGGATTTCTGCATGACGTTGGCCCCATGGTCTTGAATGTAGCAAAGTTTCTTGGAGTTCCATTTCTGACACCCAGAGACCGGTATTTGCTTCAGGCGGTCGATCTTTCAATATAGGTCGATGAACCCACAGCTGTGGAGGATTCTTGTTTTTTGCTGAAGAGGCAAACGAGAACACTGGTCTCTCTTTGGGCGAAGACTCGGTCAGACCAAGGAAACCCCAAAAATCCAACTCCCTCTACTACTACTACCACAACTACTACTACTACTACTACCACCACCACCACCGCTACTACTACCACCACTACTACTACCACCACTACTACTACCACCACTACTGCTACTACCACCACTACTACTACTACCACACTACTACTACTACTACTACCACCACTGCTACTACTACCACCAGTAGTACTACTACCACCACTACTACTACTACTACCACTACTACTACTACTACTACAACGACTACTACTACCACCACTACTACTACCACCACTACTGCTACTACTACCACCACTACTACTAAAACCACCACTACTACCACCACCACTACTACTACCACCAGTAGTACTACTACCACCAGTAGTACTACTACCACCACTACTACTATCACCACTACTACTACTACCACCACTACTACTACCACCACCACTACAACTACCACCACTACTACTACTACTACCACTACCACTAGTACTACTACCACCACTACTACCACCACCACCACTACTACCACCACCACTACTACTACCACCAGTAGTAGTAGTACTACTACTACTACCACCACTACTACTACCGCCACTACTACCACCACCACTACTACTACCACCAGTAGTACCACTACCACCACTACTACTACCACCACTACTACCACGACTAGTAGTACACCACGACTACCACCACCACCACTACTACTACCACCAGTAGTACTACTAGAACCAC